AGTGACCCCGCTTTGGGTTTCTGAGGCAGTATCTCTACAGAAGTAGATTGCCCAACCTTTCTTGCAAGGAGTGGCTGGTGGGTTTGAACTACCAGCCTCCTGGTTAGCAGTCAAATGCCTTAGGCATTTTGCCACCAGAGCTCCCATGCACCAATAAAAAATAATGAAGAATCCACAAAACACCTAATAATGTGGATGAACTTGGAGGACATCCTGCTGAGTGTAATAATAACAGAAAGACAAATCATTTATGAGTCTGTTATTATAAAAAGTCAAGGAAAGGTTTACACAGGCCAGGAAATTGTCTTTGTTTGTTACCAGGGATAGGTGAAGAGGTGAGGAAAATTTGCTAGGTAGTTAAGAGACATGTACTGATTTGAGTGAAGGGAAAGGCAACATAACCAAAATATGTGACCAGCACAATATCACTAAGGTAAAGTGAACAAGAGGTACAGACAACAAAGGTAAATACTATTACATAGTAGTGCATTATCAGTAATATCAAACATTAATCTATGGGTAGGTACATAGGTAGACAGACAAGATGATCAGGTGTGGGTAGGCAAATGGGAATACCCATACCCATATTTAGATTTGGCAGATGATATCGCTACATACTTACTTGTATGTGCTATAAAAATGTCCATAGGTACAATAGACCTAACAGGAGGCAAAGTTAAGATACTTCTTAGCCCCATCCAAGCACCTTGAGGGAATGAGTTGCTAGGCCTGCAGGTTCCAAACCATGGTCATGGGGTACATCAAGCTCAAATGGCACAACACAGCACATCATACTTTGGTGAGTAATGACTGGGGTCTTAAAAGTTTGTGAGTGGCCATTTAATATGTAACTCTTAGTCTTTCCTTATTTGGGGCAAAAAAAGAGTGAAGAAAAATAAAAAACACACAGTTACAATTGGTCCAAAGGACTATTGGACCATGGGCACCTCAGCCTGCATGACCCTGAGAACAGAACTATATGGTGCCTGGCTATCAATGACAACCACTCTGAAAGGGATCTGAAATTGGAGATTCTGGATAGAGTGGGAGAAAAAGCATGGAGCAAAATTCACAACATAAAAAAGAACAGGATTACTGGTTGTGGAAGAGACTGCTTAAGTCCCTGAGCCTATGGCTCCTACTCACCCTTGGAGCCTGGAATTGAACTCCCTCTCGTGGCTTAACTCAGCCAAACAATACACAGTTCTATGAGCTGAACAGTTATGCCAGGGAGATGCACTCCTTAGAACACTCAACGATGGGAGATCACAAGGGCAGCATTTGTGCAGGGAGAAGTAGGATACATAGGACAAGGACACAGGGAAAAAGTAATCACAGAGGGAGTGGGAAGAGAATGCTGTTACATTATGGGGATTGCAATCAATGTTAAAAAATGTGTATGAACTGTTGAATAGAAAACAAATCTCCTCTGTAAATTCTCATCCAAATTACAATAAGAAGTAAAAAAAAAATTATTTTGACAGGATCAAAATCCAAAATAAAAAAATTAATACATTTTGTCTAGTATTTCTAAATATTTATAGCAGGAGAGTAATGTTTACATGGCATCTCAGTCTGCCATATTGCTCTAAATTCTGAAACGTATTTATGATGAGAAACTTTACGTATTAGAATACACATTCATATGAAATATTTAGTGACCATGTCATCAGGAATATTTTTACAATAAATAAAAAGCAAAAGGTTCGTGGATACCTACGTAGGATTCTAACATGAAGGCAAACTCAGGAAAGGAGATTCTAAGAGAGATTGAAATAATGAAAATGCAACTGGAAGTTGATCAATTACAATATAGTGGCTGATTTCTTAAAATGAACACCAGTACTTTGATGGACACCAAAACTCTTGCTCAGAAATTATTTAATTCTGTGATAAACTGACCATACTAACCTTTATTCCTCATCCTTGTCAGCTAAAAAAGACCAGTGGATGATAAAAGCTAAGCCACAAAACCAAATCTAAGTAATGCCTTTTCCCTTTAGTTCTTATTTGAAATGCTTTCAAGTAATTTTTTTTCTGTTGCTAAATGGAGGGATGGTGATTGTACAGCCAAGAATGACTAGGTCTTCATTCCATGGAGGACAAAAGAGTCAATCTTGCAACGAAATTGGAATTTTAGATAAAACATAGCAAGAACCTTTGGTGAGAAAGCATTCTGAGACTTATCTACTAGGGCCGCTGCTCGAGGTTGTGGAATGTCCTTTTTTCAGCACCAGGAATAAGGAAGGAAGAGGGCTTCTCTAACTTCTCATCCCTGTGGGATGCGGAGCCCAAGCCCTTGCAAGTCCAAGAGGAGAGGGCAGATGATACTTAAGAGTATATAAAGTCATGTGTGAAACTTTTCATTAAAATTGTTTAATTATTTTTCTAAAAATAAAATCTTAGTGACAGTCCTGTCCATAGTACACATCTAACTCAGCAAATAGCAATGTAATCTAGAGTTCTAAGAAATGCTCACTATGCATTTTAGCAATCTAAATGTTCAATATTTTTCCTGGAAAAGAAATAGATGCAGAAGAGGAAAAAAAAATTTTCTTATCCCCAAATAAAGACCACTGTAATGTGAAATCAAAAGTTTAATAGGACACAATTAAATATATATATATGTAAATCCCACACCAGAGGATTTCTTTTGAAATATAAGAAGTTAGAAATTACAAGTAGATATATGCTTTCTATATTCAGAGAAATTAGTTTATATTAATCATTTAAATTCCAGTTAGAGAAAAAAAATCAGAAAAGTAACAACAGATATATTAAAGCAGATATACAATACAATACCATTTAAAGACATAAACAATATTTTGGCATCTCTTTCCCATTCAGTAGACCATTTTCCCTATGATACCGATTTTTTGAAATGTACTATTTATAGTGGAAAGAATGATGTGGAATACAGCATGATGGAAAAGTTACTGGAAATGACTTTTATACCTATTTCTACAAATAAAATCTGCAATACACAGGGAACATCTCCATGCTTCCTTAGATGTCATCATTCTGCTTTTAATTAAATGAGTTTTTCCATTTCTGGGGGATGGTGGTAAATCTGATGCTCAAATGTTGTTTTGGCACATCCAAGTCATTGCTACTGATGTGTAGGTCCATACTAGTGTTTATGTGATGTCAGAGCAACTGGTGGACATAAGTGAAGAAAGCTTGGGTCATTCCAAGAATCCGACATCCCTGGGATGAAGTAACAGATGACCAATTGCATTTTTCACTTTTCTTCCAACTGTTATGATCTCACACAATAAAAGCCAGTTGCCATGGAGTCAGTTCTGACTCATGGTAACCCCATGCATGTCAGAATAGAATTGCAGTCCACTGATTATATTGGAAGTAGATCACCAGGCCTTTCTTCTGAGGAGCCTTTGGGTGGACTAGAATCTCTAGTCTTTTTGTTAGCAACCATGTGTGTTAACTCTTGCACCCCCCTAGGGGCTCCATATAGATTAAAAAAAAGAAAGAAAGAAAAGAAAAAAAATGCTTTCCCTGCATTTTCTTCTTTTTAGGAAATGAAGGAAAATATCCATAGGTGTTTTGTAGACACCAGCAGGGACTAGAAGCATTCCTTGGGGTGGGGAGCAACCACAGCTGTCTGACCAGAGGATACAAGCTCTTTAGACTCTCACCACCACAACCACCCACTGCCATTGAGTTGATTACAACTCCTAGTGATGTGATAGGGGTAGAACTCCACTATAGAGTTCCCAAGACTGTAAATCTTTACAGAAACAGACTGCCTCATCCTCCTCCCTACTGAGTGGCTGGTGGGTTTGACCACTGATCTTTTTGGTTAGCACCTAAATGCCTTAACCACTGTACCACTGGAGTTCCTTTAGAACCATTTTGTTGTTGTTGTTGTTATGTGCCGTCGAGTCAGCCCTGACTCATAGCGACCCCTCCTTGGGTTTCTGAGGCAGTATCACTATGGAAGTAGGATTGCCCAACCTTCCTTCCGAGGAGTGGCTGATGGGTTTGAACCGCCAGCCATCTGGTGAGCAGTCAAATGCCTTAGCCACTATGCTACCAGAGCTCCTTAGTACTTGTTAAATGGTTAGATTGTGCTTCTTAATTCTGGTTATCTCAGAGGAAAGTGTCCATTAAGTATGTCTGTTTTTGCAATGTGCAAACTACTATTTTCAAGTTTAAAACAAACAAAAACACCAAAAAATGCCTCCAGGTTGGGGCTAATCCATAACTTTGCAACACAAAGGTGAAAGTGTCATTAAGTGTGCCTGGGCCTCGCGGAGAGGCATTCTCTGAGGGTTGGAGGAAGGATTGCCCACAAGAGGAAGCCCTTGCGATCTCTCCCCTGCACAGTGGACAATTGATATGGGCAATTGATAGTGCTCAATGGAGGCACGTCAACTAGCCTGTATAAAAGTAGAACAGACAGCTGTGATGTTTTTCTTATTGTTATTTGCCCCAGTGCTGCAGACTGTTAATAGTTCTATTGATCTGACTCCCAAGTAAATCAGTGGTTTTTCCTGATGACCAATCATTTTAAAGACAAATGCCAAACGTGATTTCTACCCCAGGGTGCCTTCGTTTAATGTCTTGCCAGTTTGCTTTGGGCCCCCTCCCTCCACAGTCAATTCATTCTTCAGAAGTTACAGATTACAAGCAAACATATTCTTGGAGATGATATTGAATGCACTAATTACTGCATCACTAATATGGCATTATTTGCAATTAGGAATGTGAATGTGTGCTGTGATTTTTTTTTCCAGAAAGTGAAAATAATTAGATGAACTGTTCTCCCCCCATAATTGGATATTTCCATAAATCTTTGCTATTATTTGGTTGAACAAAAATACACATTTTAACTGCTAAACTGTACTGACTACAGGAGTTTTAAAGACCTTATTACTATGCAGTTACAATAGAAGACACACAATTAAAGTCATCTCATGGTTTCCAACAGCATTCTGAGGGGTCAGAAGGTCTTAGAGCCCTCCAGGAAAATCAGACACTTATTGTGGAAGGGCCTTGAGTATTGCGTTCACTTCCTCGGCCACCGTGGTCAGCGCAAACTCAAACTGCTCCTGTGGAGGGGAGACAAGAAGGAAACATGGATATGAATAAGAGTTGTTTTCTTTCCACCCCAACCTTTAAGTCTGGTGTGTTATTTTACAGAAAAAAATTGTTTAGGAAAAATTAAAACTGTGTAGGTCAAGTCACATATTTCAATGGAAAGGAATGAAGGGCTCTTTGGTTTATTTATACAACAGACCCAATGTTGATGTTAACTGAATTTTCTTGTCCTGGAAAGTCTCATCGTTTAACACTGGGGAACAGCTGCCAACAGAAACAGTGACTATGAGCACAACTGGGAGAGGCTCGACCATGTCCTGTTGATTCCATCAGATTCAGAGACTGGATACGGCCAACAGCCTGGAAGCATGAGAGAGGAGATACAGTGCCCCATATTTTTACCTTTTGGCCACTGCCATTCCAAGGATGGGAGCTCTGGTGGCATGGTGCTAGCTAGAAGGCATTTGACTGTTAGCTAGAAGGCTGGCAGTTCAAGCCCACCAGCCACTCCCCGGAAGAGGTTGGGCAATCTACTTCCACAGTGATATCACCTCAGAAACTCAGGGAGGGGGTGCTATGAGTCGGATTAAACTTGATGGCAGTGAGTTTGTTTTTTGGTTTATTCCAAGGATGTGAAGGCATGGCTGTTACAAAAAGCACAATTACAATTATACTTGAGTTTGTCCTCTCCTCAAAAAGTCTAGAAAAGCATTGTTATAATTGCTTTTGAAAGGAGTAAGTTGTTCAGTCCAACTCAATTTTATTATAATTGCTATGACGTCTCATCTTATTCACAACTTTTTCTAGTTTAAAACTGGGTATGTCCAACTATACTCACATACATAAGCATACATGCAGGAAAGGATACACCATCCTTAAATGTAAAAATCTGTGGTGGTTAATGAATAGGAATGGGGTACCATATTCAAGATGTCAGGATTATTTAACTCCATAAATGACTAGCCCTTCACACAGAGAGAAAGAACAAAACTGGAATCTTCTCACATGGCTAAATGGCCATTCTTCCCTATTCTTTCCAGTTTCCACATAAAATGCCTCTATTAACACTGCACTATATACATTAAATGCATTAATAATGCTATAATATAAACATTATGTGTTATATATACATATATATGTGTGTGTGTGTGTGTGTGTATATATGTGTGTGTGTGTGTATACACACATATATACCAAACTTGCTGTCATTGGTCAATTCCAACTCACAACGACCCCATTGAGTTTCTGAGGCACAAATCTTTAAAGAAGTAGATTGTGTCACCTTCCTTCCATGGAGTGGCTGGGGGTTTGAACCACCAACCTTCTGATTAGCAGTCAAATGCCTTAGGCACTGGGTCACGAGAGCTCCCTTTACTACATATATATGTATGTGTTACTATACACTACATATAATATAGTACACATATATGTGTGTGTGTATGTGCGTGTGTGCATTTAGTAAAAGGAGCTCTGGTAGCACAGAATATAAAGGAGATCTGGTGGTGTAGTGGTTAAGGCATTTGGCGGCTAACCAAAAGGTTGGTCTTTTGAACCTACAAGTTCATCCACAAAAGAAAGATGAGGCAATCTGCTTCTGTAATGATTTATAGCCTTGGAAACCCAATGGAGGTCTTGGTGAGTCACGATTGTCTCAATGGCAGTGAGTTTGGTTTGAGTGTGATATATAATATAAACACTATAATATAAAACTATAAACTAGGCTTTGAGGTACTTTTCAGTTAAACTAGGGAAGTTATAGGAAATCATGAATTATCCAAACTATCACCTCACTAACAATTTTTGATTAAGGAAAGTGAAATTGATGGCATAAATATTTTGATAATTCATGTTATCAGGATAGCTCCAGATAAAAATTAATTATTTATTTCCATTTTCAATGTCCAGTACAGAATTTGTTGTTGTGAGCTGCCACTGAGTCAGCCTGATTCAGGGTGACCCCACGCACAATGGAACGAAATGCTGCCTGGTCTTATGCCATCCTCATGATGGGTTGAAGACTGGACCACTGTGATCCACAGGGTTTTCAATGTCTGATTTTCAGAAGTAGATCATCAGGTCTTTTTTCCTAGTCTGTCTTAGTCTGGAAGTTCCACTAAAACAAGCATTACAGCAACACAAAAGCCTCCACTGGCAGATGGGTGGTGGCTGCCCATGAGGTGCACTGGCTGGGAGTCAAACCTGGGTCTTTTACATGGAAGGCAAGGTTCTACCACTGAGCCACCACTGCTCCCCAGTACATAACAGAAACAGAAGAGAGCTACAATGAACAACAGAAAGTCAAAACAATTTTATGCCCACTTTGGGACAAAAGACAGTTTTTCCTTTAATAGTCCACTTGACCTGACATTAAAGGAATTACCTACTGTGTACTAATATGTTGTTGTTGTTATGTGCCATTGAGTCGGACCCGACTCATAGCGACCCCTCCTTGGGTTTCCGAGGCAGTATCACTACGGAAGTAGGATTGCCCAACCTTCCTTCCGAGGAGTGGCTGGTGGGTTTGAACTGCCAGCCTTCTAGTTATCAGTCAAGTGCCTTAGGCACTATGCTACCAGAGCTCCTGTGTACTAATATGCTGAGCAAGTAATCTGAGAAGCTGGACTACATGAAGAATGTTGCATCAGGATTAGAGGAAGACTCATTAACAGCCTGTGATATGCAGATGACACAACCTTCCTTGCTGAAAGTAAAGATGACTTGAAGCACTTATAGATCAAGATCAAAGACTACAGTCTTCAATATGAACTATATCTCAACATAAAGAAAAGAAAAATCCTCACAACTGGACCAATATGCAACATCATGATAAATGGAGAAAACTGAGGTTGTCAGGGATTTCAATTTACTTGGATCTTCAATCAACACTCATGGAAGCAGCAGTCAAGAAATATGATTTTGTATTACACTGGGCAAATCTGCTGCAAAGACCTCTTTAAAGGGTGTTAAAGAGCAAAGATGTCACTTTGAAGACTAAGGTGTGCCTAACCCAAGCCATGGTATTTTCAGTCACCTCATATGCATGTGAAAGCTGGACAATGAATAAGGAAGACAGAAGAGTTGATGCCTTTGAGTTATGGTTTTGGCAAAGAATACTGAAAGTACCATGGACTGTCAGAAGAAGGAACAAATCTGTGCTGGGGGAAGGGCAGCCAGAATGCTCCTTGGAACTATTATTGAAAGGGTAACCAAGGCAGATTCTAGAATGCCTCTAACACTGTGTTCCATAACTGCTTTGGGATTAGAGTTGCAGGTATATCCAACACAGTCATGCAATAATTCTTTTCTTGCTGCACACAGTCGATGGCTCCCAACTCTTGTCTTCAAAGTCACCTACCTGGAGGTTGCTTCTCTAGCCTGGGCCATCACCAGGCTGGCCAACACATATTCTGTTCTAATGCCATTTCTCTCTCTGCTGCTCAGATTCACTATTTGTTTAATGAAATGTGTTGCTTAGAGGATCCAGTTTTATTATGCATAAACAGCCACATCAGACCATTTCTTCCAAAAATGTTGACTTTTCAAAGGGCAGATGACGGTTTCATGATAACATGCAAATGCAAATCATTTGCTTCAATGCAAAAATTAAGGGTGTCATTTGGGGACTCTAGTTTTAAGTGTCTTATACCTATTCCTATCTTTTGACATACTGGAAATATATCTTGAAGAAATAATCTTTAGAAGGAAAAAACAAACAAGCATGAAGATATTCGATTCGGTGCAGCCTGATCTACACAGTGAAAAAATGAAACATCCAAATGCCAACAATGGAAGAAAGACTTAGTAAATAATCTTATGTAAATTGTTGTTGTTGTTGTTATGTGCCGTCTAGTCGGACCTGACTCATAGCGACCCCTCCTTGGGTTTCAGTGGAATCTTATATAACCATTTAAAAGAACCCAATAAGGAAGTCAAATATTTATATTAATATTAAATGACAAAAGAAAAATGAAGAATTGTACTTATGCTTTGATTATAATAATAGAAAACATTACGTATCCATAAGCAAATATAGTGGAAGAGAAATATGGAGAGTTGAAATAGTTGGTGTATTTATTTCAACAGTTTAAAAATCATTCCAATATTGATTGTGTACCCAAAAGAGCCACTGCCCTTCTGTCAGTCTGCCATCCTGTAGTGGCTTGTGCAATGCCAAGATGCTGGAAGCTATGCTGCTGATATTCCAAATACCAGCAGGGTCAACCACAGCAGACAGGTTTGAGCAGAGTTTCCAGACTAAGATAGACTAGGAAGAAAGACCTGGTGATCGATTTCAGAAAATCAGCCAATAAAAACCCCACAGATAAGAATATTATCTGATATAGTGCTGGGTGATAAGCCCCCAGGTGAGAACACACTCAAAATTCAAAGTAGTCGTAACAATGGCCTCAAGCATATTAATGATCATGAAGATGGTACAGGACTGGGTAATGTTTTGGGTAATGTTTTGTTCTGTTGAACTTGGGGTCATCATGAATTGGAGCCAACTTGATAGCAGCTAATAGCAACAGCAACCCTAAAGGAGAGGAAGATCAATTGTGCCACCAGTGGGCTGCCTAGGCCGCCACTGAAAAGGCCCTTCCTTACTCAGTGTGTGGTAGGTTTTGATAAACTAGGGAAGATGGCTCTGGTGAGCATTAGCTGGTGGAGGGGTGAGGGAGTTTCCTACTTTAGAGGAAACTCAATATACTGATAGCTGTGCCATCAAAACCTGTCCAGGGAGAGATGAGTTGTGTCAGGACATCTTGCCTCTTCATGGAGAAAAATGTCAGTGGGATGCTGGATGATGCCCATTCTGGGCCAGCTCCTTGTTCTATCACCAGTGCTAACAATGTGTGGGCCCTGAGCAGTCTACAGGCCACCTTTCATTTTAATAAGCCTTTTTTTTTTTTTTTTAGAACAGTTTTAGGTTTATAGAAAATGCTCAGAAAGCACAGAGTTCCCCTATATTCCCTGCTACATAGAATTTTTCCCACCATTATTAATCATGTAT